CTCAAGTAGTTCATACCTTAATGACAACAGCATTCTCCATAGCTATCAATCGCTTTAGAAGATCCTACTCAACCGACACCTCCCTTATTAAACTGATGGATTACCTGAGAACTGAAATGTCAAAGGGAACCCTCATAGTATGGTAACCTTAGACCTGCAAAAGGCCTTCGATACTGTCAACCACAATATTTAAGTAATAAACTTCCAGGCTAATCGGTATAGGTTCTGTAGACTGTTTAAGTCCTACCTTAGCAACAGGATACAAATAGTCAAAATCACAACAGAATCAGAACCCCTGTCGATTATCATGTGGAGTTCCCCAAGTAGTATTCGGGTCCCTTATTATTCTTATGTTATGACAAAGACATGCCTATCAGTGTCACGTGCAAACTCCTGCGGGTGTATGCAGATGACAGTGCTCTGTTAGTGTCAGGTAGAAGAACCCACAAGATATTGCAAATGTTATAACACTGGAACTGAGTCCTGCAGCAAATGGTTATAGACAACAAACTATCTTATACAACCTAAGGAAAACGAAAGCCAGTCTCTTTGGCACGAAACAAAAACTGAGAAGGGTAAAAAATTTTTAATGTTCAATGTAAATGGGGAGCCCACCACTTTGGGTTCATCGAGTAAAATATTTGGGAATCCCCTTTGAACCCAGCATGTCAGGAGAATTGATAGGGAACTGGTAGTAAAGATAAGGCGAATGCAGACTGAAGTTCCTGTATAGCAAATTACAGAGGTAAATTGATAGCTTCAGCTATCAAAAATTTGAAGTCCAGTCCTGGACCAATATGACCATCAGTAATCTTTGACTCCGCCCACAGGAATGGGTATGGGGGCAAAATAACCCATATTAAACTAACTGTATAGACAAGCACAGAGTCTAACCTACTGAGCTCGCAGTACCCTATGTCTAAGCCCTTTACAATTGCCATATGGATTACGCTTGCTCTTCTTGGTACTCTGCCTGTGACAAAAAAACTGAAAGATAGACCTGCAAATCACCCAACAAAATCGTAAGATTCATCCTGGGGCTGGGGACCAGAGACATGTAGGCCAGGAATAATTACAGCATTGGATATGCCTGAATGTGAAGACAGAGGTAAAACAACTGAAGCTAAATCATGTTATAAAATTGCTCACAACAATGGTCCAGAATATCTTGCTGTCCCAAATTTGTCAAGTTAGGTAACCGCAGCAAATCATAGTACTAGGGAGAGAGCACGAACTTGTAGTACCCACAGTCAGTGCCAAGGCATCAAAACCCCTTTATTGTACAGCAATAAGGAATGAACAGACTGCCCGCACATGTCAAAGCCATTCATAGCATGACCCAGTTCAAGAAGAGTGTCAAAAGGTGTCCTGATGAATGTAGCTACAGAAAGGGATGGGAATGATTTTCTATTTTTTTAGCTAACATACGTGTAAATTTTACACCATATTCCTAGTAATGACCCTCGTATTGGTAGTCTTAATAGACCCTCTAATTAAATATCTTAATGACCTCGTATTGTAGATAGTCTTAAATGACCTGGTTGTAGTAGATAGTCCTTTTTAGTAAGATAATAAGATGTTAATCTTCATTATAGAATAATAAGAAAAAGTATAACCTTTATATTATAATAATAAGGTAAAAGGACCCCCAATGGGAAATAAGTCACTCTGTCTGACTTTTTTGGGTATCCCAGTTTCTCTACACAAATGCTGCTATGTATGATAATTCCTATGTAGACTGTTATTGGTGTATACCTGAATAAACTTACTTACCTTACGTACCTTACCTGTACTACTGTATACCTTGTACATGAGCGGCGTATACCTTGTACATGTACTGGTATACCTTTGTACATGTGCTGGTATACCTTGTACAAGTACTGGTAGACCTTGACATGTGCTGGTATACCTTGTACAGTGCTGGTATACCTTGTACATGTGCTGGTATACCTTGAAACATGTACTGGTACACCTTGTACATGTGCGGGTAAAACCTTGTACATGTGCGGTATACCTTGTACATGTACTGGTATACCTTGTACATGTGCTGGTATACCTTGTACATGTACTGGTATACCTTGTACATGTACTTGTATACCTTGTACATGTACTTGTATACCTTGTACATGTAGTAAATAAAGATATTATTATATTATTATTATTTTTAATATAACATAAGGCATCATGTTTGTCTTCAAGGCGAAGCTTTGCTTGTGATTTAAAATTTTAAGGGGGGGGGGATGGAGGGATGGTAGTTTGTAATGGGATAATATCCCTGAATCAATAACCGACTGATTCACCGACTCACCTCCTGATTCACTCACTGACTCACGTACTTATTCACCGCCAGACTGACTTACTGACTCACACCATTCCCGCCATTTTTTAAAAATTATAACGTAATATTTGTTTACATCGTAGTTCCAACAGCCGCCGCTAGAGCGCCTATATTTTTTCCCCAGGATACACAACCTCACCTCCCTTATATTATCTTCCTGAGGAGCAAATTATTTTATTATCAACACATTTACACACAACTAAAACATCAAAATAAAGATATTGGTTTATGGGAATTTATGATAGATTAGATGTGAAGTCAGTCATGTTTTTCTACACAATTTTAGTTAATTAAGGATAAATTGTAGATTAAGTGATGGGTGATATGTAGATGGACATGCAGAAAACACCTTAATATGGGGACAATATATATATACCATATGTTACTTTGTGTGGCTCATGAGACTAAAAAAATAACTGGGTAGACAATATTTACGAAATGCAGATTGTTAAAATATTGGCCTAGCTGGTTGTCCCCAGGACCCCTGGTTGTCTTCAGGACCCGTGGCTGTCTTCAGGACCCGTGGCTGTCTTCAGGACCCGTGGCTGTCTTCAGGACCTATGGCTGTCTTCAGGACCCCTGGCTGTCTTCAGGACCCCTGGCTGTCTTCAGGACCCCTGGCTGTCTTCAGGACCCCTGGTTGTCTCCAGGACCCGTGGCTGTCTTCAGGACCCGTGGCTGTCTTCAGGACCCCTGGCTGTCTTCAGGACCCCTGGTTGTCTCCAGGACCCGTGGCTGTCTTCAGGACCCCTGGCTATCTTCAGGACCCCTGGTTGTCTCCACGACCCCTGGTTGTCTTCAGGACCCCTGGTTGTCTTCAGGACCCCTGGCTGTCTTCAGGACCCCTGGTTGTCTCCAGGACCCCTGGTTGTCTTCAGGACCTCTGGTTGTCTTCAGAACCCCTGGCTGTCTTCAGGACCCCTGGCTGTCTCCAGGACCCCTGGTTGTCTTCAGGACCCCTGGTTGTCTTCAGGACCCCTGGCTGTCTTCAGGACCCCTGGCTGTCTCCAGGACCCCTGGTTGTCTTCAGAACCCCTGGCTGTCTTCAGGATCCCTGGTTGTCTTCAGGACCCCTGGCTGTCTTTAGGACCCCTGGTTGTCTTCAAGACCCTTGGTTGTCTTTAGGACCCCTGGTTGTCTTCAGGACCCCTGGTTGTCTTCAGGACCCCTGGTTGTCTTCAGGACCCTTGGTTGTCTTCAGGACCCTTGGTTGTCTTCAGGACTCTGGTTGTCTTCAGGACCCTTGGTTGTCTTCAGGACCCTTGGTTGTCTTCAGGACCCCTGGTTGTCTTCAGGACCCCTGGTTGTCTTCAGGACCCCTGGCTGTCTTCAGGACCCCTGGTTGTCTTCAAGACCCCTGGCTGTCTTCAGGACCCCTGGTTGTCTTCAGGACCCCTGGTTGTCTTCAAGACCCCTGGCTGTCTTCAGGACCCCTGGTTGTCTTCAGGACCCCTGGTTGTCTTCAAGACCCCTGGCTGTCTTCAGGACCCCTGGTTGTCTTCAGAACCCCTGGTTGTCTTCAGGACCCCTGGTTGTCTTCAAGACCCCTGGCTGTCTTCAGAACCCCTGGTTGTCTTCAGGACCCCTGGTTGTCTTCAAGACCCCTGGTTGTCTTCAAGACCCCTGGTTGTCTTCAGGACCCCTGGTTGTCTTCAAAACCCCTGGCTGTCTTCAGAACCCCTGGTTGTCTTCAGGACCCCTGGTTGTCTTCAGGACCCCTGGTTGTCTTCAAGACCCCTGGTTGTCTTCAGGACCCCTGGTTGTCTTCAGGACCCCTGGTTGTCTTCAGGACCCCTGGTTGTCTTCAAGACCCTGGTTGTCTTCAGGACCCCTGGTTGTCTTCAAGACCCTGGTTGTCTTCAGGACCCCTGGTTGTCTTCAAGACCCTGGTTGTCTTCAGGCCCCCTGGTTGTCTTCAAGACCCTGGTTGTCTTCAGGACCCTTGGTTGTCTTCAAGATCCCTGGCTGTCTTCAGGACCCCTGGCTGTCTTCATGCGCGAGCTGGACAGACACATGGAGTACCTGATCAACCAGGCTGTGGTTCCTACGTTGGTTTACACGCGGCCACCAATAACAACCTGGTTGATAAGCTCCTGATCCACCACCAGGCCTGGTCATGGACCGGGCCGCGGGGGCGTTGACCCCCGGAACACTCCAGGTATATTCAATGTATTCTCCAAGTATACACGAGAAGTATTCCCTGTTGACCCGCTTAAGATTAGTACAAAATATATTGTTTTACAGACAATAAAAGATCACAGTGGAAATAAGTGACTGACTTTTTTGAGTTATCCTAAATTCTATACATATATACTGCTACATACTGGGGATAAAATGTTGTTGTTGGTCCTGGGGATAAAATATTGTTGTTCATCCTGGGATAAAATATTGTTGATCCTGAGGATAAAATATTGTTGTTGATCCTGGGAATAAAATATTGTTGTTGGTCCTGGGTATAAAATATTGTTGTTGGTCCTGGGTATAAAATATTGTTGTTGGTCCTGGGTATAAAATATTGTTGATGCTCCTGGGGATAAAATATTGTTGTTGCTCCTGGGGATAAAATATTGTTGTTGCTCCTGGGGATAAAATATTGTTGTTGCTCCTGGGGATAAAATATTGTTGTTGCTCCTGGGAATAAAATGTTGGTAGTGATGGGGAAGATGTCGTCTGCTGGAGGAGGTTCACTGCAGGACAGGACCTTGAACAAAGTAGCTCTCTGCTCTGCTGTCTTCGCTGGTTTCGCCTACGTGGGTTACTCCTACGCCAAGACTGCCTTCTGCAGGAAGTTGGCACGCAGACACCAGCTGCGTGAGTTATATATTACAGGAGATAATGACATGTTATGGTGGCTGTGGGAGTGGCTCTCCCACCATGTTTTATCTGATTTCTTAATAATTATCACAACTTTCACCTTATTTGCTTCATGTACAACATTATTTACCGCAGTGGTATTATAATCATCAATAAAACCCAGCATAAGTACATTATTAACGTAGATAATGTTGTATATGTGATGACTGGGAGTGGCTCTGGGGCCCAAGAGCTCCATCTTTACCATATATTTCAACCTTAACTTAATATTTTGCCAATATTTACCTCATTTAAGATACTATTACCATCATTTTATACCCTGACAACCCATAAATTGAATAAAACTTTTTATATAACAATTACCAATAACCAGCTTCGTAATATTAAATTAATACATATTATGTTATTACTCAATATTATCTCTAATATTCTGCCATGTATAAAGTCTTTGATAAAAAATTATTAATATTTATCCACATTAACAAAATTATTTGGTTTAATTCTTGTTTTTAATATTTTAGTTTTCAGGGTCATAATTACGACTTATTTCTACCGTAATTTACAGTCCGGCTTTAAATAATAAGATATTACCAGGATCACGATGGAAATAAGTCGCTTATTTCCATTGTGGGTAATATACACACACTTGCGCTGCCTAAGTTCTCCAGGTAAACTTAACCTCTAATGGGGTTACGATTCAACGAACCCGTCGTAAGTCAAAAATGTCGTAAGATGAAAATGAACGTACGCTAAATAAATAACTGCTGTCACTCGATAAGTAAATAAACAAATAATTACTGTAACTAAATACCGGTATCGACAAGTAAATGAATACAAGTTACAGACGTGTTGCCTTAATGTTGGGTAATTATCTCAAGTTTCATCTTCCAAGTACAGTGGTACCTTGAGTTACGAACTTAATTCATTCCAGAAGGCTGTTCGAGTGCCGATACCGAACGAATTTGTTCCCATAAGGAATAATGCAAATTAGATTAATCTGTTTCAGACTCCAAAAATACACTTACAAAAAACACTTACAAAAATACACTTACAAAAAACACTTACAAAAATACACTTACAAAAATACTTACAAAAAACACTTACAAAAATACACTTACAAAAAACACTTACAAAAATACACTTACAAAAAACACTTACAAAAATACACTTACAAAAATACTTACAAAAAACACTTACAAAAATACACTTACAAAAAACACTTACAAAAATACACTTACAAAAAACACTTACAAAAATACACTTACAAAAATACACTTACATAATTGTTTGAGTTGGGAACTGTACGAAACTGAAGGTACCATTGTAATTACTTTTACACCATTGTAAAGTGAGAATATTGTAAGTCAGGGAGCACCTGTATGTTAAGCTGTGTATGGTAACTGCACTTCTGTATACCTGTACGTAAATAATCACATTTAATGTACCATTAATCAGGTGATGAAGAAGAGACGGAGGTGTCAAGAGTGGTGTTCCGGAGGTTGTCACAGACCACGCAGACAGATGCTCTCTTGGGCAACCTGGACGTCAGCGGAACCACCGGAAAGCTCATCATACGCCCCAAGACGGTTCAGGTTTGGAGACTTTGCCACCACGACTAGGGCATGTATTGTATTTTCCGGTATACAGTAAGTTTACAATTTAAGACCACATTGAGAATCTTCTATATTGCATATACGTAATATCATTATTATATCATTACATATTGTATATAAGATCATTATTAAATCATTATTATACACAAACACAATAAGAGCCAACATAATAAGTGTCAGTGGCCCAAGACTGTTCAACTGCCTCCCAGCATACATAAGGGGGATTACCAATAGACCCCTGGTTGTCTTCAAGAAGGCTCTGGACAGGCACCTAAAGTCAGTACCTGATCAGCCGGGCTGTGGTTCGTATATCGCTTTACGTGCGGCCAACAATAACAGCCTGGTTGATCAGGCTCTGATCCACCATGAGGCCTGGTCATAGACCAGGCCACAGGGGTGTCGACCCCTGAAACCCTCTCCAGGTATCCTCCAAGTAAAACAGAAGATTCCCAATGTGAATATTATACATAATTCAGAAGGCCCCCAATGCGTTTGTAAATTGAGGACTTAGTGTATGAGGTGCACATTTTTACCCCCAGTTACTTACTAACGTTACATTACACCTGCTCGGAAACATTGTGCCCCTACGTGTTTGCCTCACATGCCGGAAAATACGGTAAATCTGGGGTGGAGGGAAGGAGGAGTTGGGGTTATCCTAGGGAAATTTGATTGTTTTGTAACAGGATTTGATTGCCAGGGGATTGGACATTCAACAGCCTTGTGTGAACATGTTAAATATGCGTGAGTGGAGGCAAGTGGTTTTGTGATTTGATTTGCTGTTTGAGTGCAAGATTGGTAATGCTTGTTAAAGGATTTAGAAAAACTGGTTAGCTTGATTTGATTTGATTTGAGTCCTGTCTGCACTCTGAAGGAGGGGTGGTGGTGGGAAGTACAGTGCCTGCACTCTGAAGGAGGGGTGGTGGTGGGAAGTACAGTGCCTGCACTCTGAAGGATGGGTGGTGGTGGTGGGAAGTACAGTGCCTGCACTCTGAAGGAGGGGTGGAGGTGGGAAGTACAGTGCCTGCATTCTGAAGGAGGGGTGGTGGTGGGAAGTACAGTGTCTGCACTCTGAAGGAGGGGTGGTGGTGGTGGGAAGTACAGTGCCTGCACTCTGAAGGAGGGGTGGTGGTGGGAAGTACAGTGTCTGCACTCTGAAGGAGGGGTGGTGGTGGTGGGAAGTGCAGTGCCTGCACTCTGAAGGAGGGGTGGTGGTGGGAAGTACAGTGCCTGCACTCTGAAGGAGGGGTGAGGATGTTGTAGTTCAGAGGGTCATCTGAACTCTGAGGTCATCATGCTTCTCGCAAGATAGTGATTGAATGAGTGACAGTGAAAACGTGTTTTCACCTTTGTTGGGTCACCTTGCCTCCGTGAGAGATGACCAGTGTTAAAAAAATTGAACTCTGTTAATGATATTTTCAATACATGGACTGTTTGCCACTGAGTCATGGTGACCTGGAAAAGAAGAAACATTTTCATTATCACTCACTTCATCCCTGTCTTGCCATTGTCACTTCTACACTACAGTAATAAAACTGCAACCGGTGGCCTGGTGGCTAAAGCTCCCGCTTCACACACGGAGGACCCGGGTTCGATTCCCGGCGGGTGGAAACATTTCGCCATGTTTCCTTACACCTGTTGTCCTGTTCACCTAGCAGCAAATAGGTACCTGGGTGTTAGTCGACTGGTGTGGGTCGCATCCTGGGGGACAAGATTAAAGGACCCCAATGGAAATAAGTTAGACAGTCCTCGATGACGCACTGACTTTCTTGGGTTATCCTGGGTGGCTAACCCTCCGGGGTTAAAAATCCGAACGAAATCTTATCTTATCTTATCCACCCCTCCTTCAGAGTGCAGACACTGTACTTTCCACCTCCAGGACTTTCTGGCTAACTGGTTTCCTTGAATCCCTTCATAAATGTTACATTGCTCATATTCCAACAGCACGTCAAGTCATAAAAGCCATTTCCCTCCACTTGCTCCTATCACGCACACCACCTTTACCCCTTCCCTCTAACCTTTCCTAGGCCGACCCCTACCCCGCCTTCCCTCCGCTACAGATTTACACACCTTCCAAGTCATTTTGTTTCCTCTTCTCTAATTGTCTGAACCACCTCAACAACCCCTCCTTAGCCCTCTGGATAATACTTTTAGAACCTCCACCTCTTAATCTCTAAGCTATGGATTCTCTGCATAATATTCACACTACACACTGCCCTCAGACACATCATCTCCACTACCTCTGGATAACATTCTGTGTCTCCAGAGACTCCTCAGTGCACCACTCGCCTTTTTTTCCTTGTCAGTTCTATGGGTCACCTCATTTTTCATAGGCCCATCTGCTGACAAGTTCACTCCCAGATATCTGAACACGTTTATAAATACAGTGGAACCTCTACTTGCGAGCGCGTCCATGTGCGAGTTTTTCCAAATATGAGCATTCGATGGATCGATTTTTTGCTTCCATAAGCGAGCAAAATTTCCACAAGCGAGCAGACCTGAAGGCAGGTTCCTTGACACTGTTGAGGGACTCTTGCTCTTGATCTCGGGAATTGTATCTCATTTGTTTATTGGACTATCTTATTGAAACTTGGGCAATGTATGATAGGAAGACGCTTCTTAACATATACCAAAAATGAAAGAACTCTAAGCATAAATAACGGAGTTCACTTCTCAACAATTAGCCGCCCCTTTGCGGTAATTTTGAATGGTTTTTATGGTTGTATTCTCATTTTTTTGGTCTCGTTTGATAGAATGGAGATATATTACAGAAATAGATATGATTTTAATTGCTTTCACGATGAAAAGTGCCTTGAAATAGAGCTCAACCTAGGAGAAATGGTCCATTGCTTGGCTGTTTCAGAGTAAACAAATGACGTCACTGTCCATTCCAATATGCAGTCGTGAATGGGTTGACATTATTTATACAATTATTGCATTAAGGAATAATGGTAAATCTTATATTTTTTGTGTGAATAAAAATTACAAATTATTTATATAATAATAATAATAATAATAATAATATGTATAATAATATGTATAATAATAATACATATAATAATAATAGTATGTATAATGTATAATACAATAATAATCATAATAATAATAATATATGTATAATAATAATACATATATAATAATGTGCTACATATAATAATTATAATAATAGAAGCTTCAAAAGGCCATCACTAGATGGCAGTGTTTACCACAACAAAGAGGGAGCGGTTGTGGCCGCCTCCACCTGTTACATAATGACACATTTTATTCATTCTAGAGTATATATCATGTTTCTATGTTATTTATATTGTTTGTTATGTCATATTAGATGAACTGTGATATATAAATAAGCCATATAGATGATATTAGCGAAATTATTCATGAAGTATTTTGCCCGGTCTCCAGACAAACTCGTCCACCGCCGACACCGCCCATACCACTACATGAATGACATATTTTATTCATTTTAGGGTATATATCAGGTTTCTGTGTTATTTATATTGCTTATTATGTCATATTAGATGAAGTGAGATAGATAAATAAGCAGTAGAGTTGATATTAGCAAAATTATTGAATTACAGAATTCCACTGGAACGGATTAATTGCATTTCAGTTAATTTAAATGAGGAAAATTGACTCTGCAAACGAGCAAATCCAGTTGCGAGCAAAGTCATGGAACGGATTAAACTCGCAAGTAGAGGTTCCACTGTAATTCATTTTTTCAGAATATGTGAAAGGTCACTTAATAATAGTTTTCATTTCAGGAAAGAATTCGTGAGCTGAACCTTATGGCACGACAGTTTGCCGATACGTTCATAGCTATCCAGGCAGGTAATGGCCATGCTGGTCATTCTGGTCAAGCAGTCTCTCGCAACTGTGCTATCCACGATCCTAAGAGCTTACAGGTGGGAACACAGGTACACGTTTGATTTTAAAACTTGATTAGCCTTAATTATACATATAACAGTAATATCTCCATGGAAAAGTGTGATTGAATTCTTCCTCCATTAGTCGTGTGTGTTGTAAGAGGTGACTAAAATGCCGGGAGCAAGGGGCTAGTAACACCTACTGGATTTAGGTCACCTTGCTTTGGTGGGATATGGTCGGTGTGTTAAAAAAAGCAATGCATATGAACATAGTACATATAAACTGTAGTACTGACATACCTCTGGCAAGACAGCAATGGAGTGAGTGATGATGAAAGTCTTTCTTCTTTTTTGGATCACCCTTCCTTGGTAGGAAAAGAGTAGATATAAATATCAGCTGCAGGTCTCTCTCGCTGTTTTGCAAACTTGCTTTAGGGATAAAGATTTTCTTTCTTTAAAATACATCAGGATTACATGGGATGGTTCTACAATTTTTAGCGTTACAAGTTGTCAGCAGTGTCAGGTAAACATTGTATTGGATATTTTAACGAGAATCCATTGTTCGGCTAACCAGTTCAAACATACTAAGTATAGACCATAAAAATGACTTAGAGTACAGCTTCTCCTCACTTAGCGATGTACTACTCGTTTACTGACGACTCGGACTTATGATGGGCTCTCTGACCAGTATGTATACTTAAATAATGTATCTTAGAGCTGATGTTTTCTATTCTGTTTATTACAATATACAGTACACTACTGTATAAACATTTAAAAATATACCAGAAATGTTATAAATGGTACAGAGGCAACATTAAAACAATATCAAGGATGGTGGACACAAACTCAGTACCATTACACAGTGGACCCTCGCCTAACGAACGCATTGCATAACGTTAAATTCGCCTTACGATACATTTTAACGCTAACTTTTGCCTCAGCTAACGCTAAAAAACTCGCCTAACGATATTCGTTCTCAGGTACTAATTAATATCGTTAGCTGAGGGTCTAGTATGCTCCTCACTTAGTGATGAATTCGTTTACCGACGTGGTCTTAGGAACAGAACTCCATCATTAAGTGAGGAGAGGCTGTACTACCATTTAGGTGTGCATTATGCGGACTCAATGTTAGATAGAGGGGTGTTGATATGTTGCAGTTTTCTTTTTTTTAACCCTTCAACAGTCCAAACGTGTATATATACGTTCACGCGCGTAGCGCCCCAAACGTATATACATGTATACGTTTTCTTTGTCATTCATTCAACATTGCCACAATAAGCCTGAGTCACCTAGACATGAGAGAATGGGTGTGTGCACTCACTGTGTTCCATATTAAAATAATTGGGGATGCCTGGGTACCATATGCTCTTTTTTCCTTTTAAAAGAAAAGATTTCTTTTTTCCTCAAAAAATTTGGGGCGCTATGCGAGTGAACGTATATATACGTTTGGACCGTTTAAGGGTTAACTGTAATGTAGGCACGCCTCTGGCCAAGACAGTGATAGAGTGAGTGATGATGAAAGTGCTTCTTCTTTTTCGGGTCGCCCTGCCTTGGTGGGAAACGGCCAATGTGTTAATAAAAATAACTGTTAGGTATCCTATTTCTATCAGTAATTCCTTGTGTGTTGTAGATTGTTACTGTATGCTCAGTAATAATGCACGTGGAGGGAGACACTCAGGAGATTAATTAATTTCTATATTTCAACCTTTTGGGGTCCTCTTCAGCAGATCTGCTGAAGAGGACCCATTCACATTGTAAAAATATCCATTGTATTTGTAGTGTATTATAAAATTCAAAATGAAATAAACCTCCAGGATGGATTTTTTTTTAATATACAGCGGTACCTCGGGATACGAACTTAATTTGTTCCAGAAGGCTGTTTGAGTACCGATACCAAACAGATTTGTTCCCATGAGGAATAATGTAAATTAGATTAATCCGTTTCAGACCCCCAAAAATACACTTACAAAAGCACTTACATAAATACACTTACATAATTGTTGGCGTTTTGAGCCGTTCGTATCCTGAGGTACCACTGTATATAAGATCCCTGTTGAGTTAGGCTCTCTGGCTAGCTGTGACGTCACAGCTAGCCAGAGAGCCTAACTCAACAGGGATCTTATATATAATATAGCTAGTACTTACTACATATACTACACAACTACATTACATAGAAATTCAATAACACTACTAACATGAGCTCAGCTCACTCAGATAAGCTGTGAGTGGTAAATTTTGCCCTAGATATGAGAGAATGGATATATGTGGTAAGTGTGCACCACATAAAAAAATCCTGCAGGACACACTGCATAATGAGAAAAAACTGCAACCATGTTTTTGGTTTACAACAGCGACTTTGCGGTGTATTTTCATATGATGGTTTTTATTATATTCTCAGTTTCTTGTCTCATTTGATAGAATGGAAGATATATTACGGACATAGAGATGATTTTGATTGGTTTTAGGAGTGTAAATAGCTTGAAATTGAGCTCAAAGTAGCAGGAATGTTTGCTTTTTGCCGATATTCCAGGATACACAAATTACTTCACTTGTCAGTTCCTGATCAGCCGGGCTGTGGCTCGTACGTTGGTTTGCGTGCAGCCAGCAGCAACAGCCTGGTTGATCAGGCTCTGATCCACCAGGAGGCCTGGTCACAGACCGGGCCGCGGGGGCGTTGACCCCCAGAACTCTCTCCAGGTAAACTCCAGGTGTCCAATACACATCCAACTGATTTAGCAATGCACTCACATTATTTACACAGTTATTACAATAATGCAGTAGTCTGCATAACAGTAAATCTTCTATTTTTTTGTTTGAATAAAAATTCAAAATGGAAAGCAAGAGTAATATAAGAGAGGCCTAGAGATGTGACTAAGACACAGAGGAAATGTTTGTTTATTGCCAGGAATGTCTACATTGTTTATTCTGGACCCTGTTTTTGAATTGGCCAAATTACTGATTTCTGATCACTTTACTGGGGAGTTGAAATAGGTAAATGGACAGTTTCTTGTACTCGGTCAATAGAATAGAAGAAATACTAGCAAAATAGCTATTCAGCAGGTTAGGTTCTGAGCTACTGTAGGGGCCCTGCTTATACAGTAGGTTAGGCTTGGAGCTACTGTAGGGCTCTGCTTATACAGTAGGTTAGGTTCTGAGCTACTGTAGGGCCCTGCTTATACAGTAGGTTAGGCTTTGAGCTACTGTAGGGCTCCGCTTATACAGTAGGTTAGGTTCTGAGCTACTGTAGGGGCCCTGCTTATACAGTAGGTTAGGCTTTGAGCTACTGTAGGGCTCCGCTTATACAGTAGGTTAGATTCTGAGCTACTGTAGGGCCCTGCTTATACAGTAGGTTAGATTCTGAGCTACTGTAGGGCCCCACTTATACACCAGGTTAGGTTCCGGGCTACTGCTGTAAAGTGAAATATAGCCTTTTTTAACTTTCAACTACATATAAAAGCCTGGTAACATGTTTACACTATCATATATTAAGTGAACAACAGTGCTAGGCCTAAAAAATATATATACAGTACACACATTACTTACCTTAAAATATTTTCAGCCTTAGCTTTTAGGGCATGGTGAATATATTTATTGTAAGAAGTCTGAATAAAGGAAGAATAGGTATGACTGAAAACCTCTGTATTAACAAAATGCCGTAAAGCAAAGTGCTGTAAAGTGGGGCCCTCCTGTATCTGTATTTCTACTTTCAACACACCGGCCGTATCTCACCAAGGTGGGATGACCCAAAAAGAATAACTAAAGTTTCTCTTTTTAAATTAGTATCTGTATTTATGGTTTTAATTTCAGTGTTCGCCCTGGAGTTCCCCCCGACTCCTCAGTCCTGTCGATGTTAGACATCTGATCACTTCAAGATCAACAGAGAATCTGACTCATATGCCACCAGATGGCACTCTCTGCAGGTAGGTATTTGCAGAATTGTTATATCCTTTCTCGTTTATGTTCACTTACACTCGTTAAATAGCATTAAATACAGTAAGTACTCATAAGTCACGTGATCCAGCTTAAGTTTTCATTATTCTGCAATTTCAGTTCACTCTATTTCCAGTTGTAACGCACCATTACCGCTAAGTCACATCAGGGTAGAACAGGTGGTGTCCATTGTCATTATGGTGTGACCCTTCTTTCCTTGGCCAAGGCCATTTTTTTTTATTTTGGTGTGGGGGAGGCCTAGCATCACTGCTTGACATAAACAAACTAGTCATCAGTACACAGATAAACTGCACACAGGGGAGAGGGGCTTACAATGATGTTTTGGTCTGACTTTGACTATTTACCAAGTCGTAAGATTCTCTCTCCTGTGTTTTGGATATTTATATATTTTTCCAGTCATGGTATTGTACCTTGTTGTTCTTTAGTCATCAGTCTCTGGACACAGTATACAATAGTGTCTGTGGTTATCTCTATTTTCATTCATATCATCACCAGCGGTTGGAGTGTGAGCAAAGTAACATTTATGAAGGGATTCAGGGAAACCGGTTAGCCAGACTTGAGTCCTGGTGGAGGGAAGTACAGTGCTTGCACTCTGAAGGAGATGTGGATATATGTTGCAGTTTTTTAACTGTAGTATAAGAACATAAAAAAGAAGGAACACTGCAGCAGGCCTACTGGCCCATGCAAGGCAGGTCCAAGTCTATTACCGGCTTAAGCCAATGACCCAACCTGGTCAGGTCAGGGCACATCCACTTAAGGAAGGAGCACAGCATCAGACCCTCTTGTACAAACTATTTAGGTCCAACTCGCATCCACCCACACCCACTCGTGTATTTATCTAACCTATTTTTAAAACTACACAATGTCTTAGCTTCTATGATGGTACTCGGGAGTTTGTTCCACTTACCCACAACTCTATTACCAAACCAGTACTTTCCTATATCCTTCCTGAATCTGAATTGTACCAACTTGAAACCATTGCTGCGAGTCCTGTCTTGGCTAGATATTTTTAGCATGCTATTTACATTACCTTTATTCCTGTTTTCCATTTATACACCTCAGTCATATCCCCCCAAATTCTATGCCCTTCAAGAGAGTGCAGATTTAGGTCCCTCTGTCTATCCTCATAGGGAAGATTTCTGATACACGGGATCAACTTTGTCATCCTCTTCTGTACGTTTTTCAGTGCATTTATATCCATTCTGTAATACGGTGACCAGAACCGTGCAGCAAAATCTAAACGAAGCCTAACCAATGATATATGGAGTTGAACGACCTGAGGACTAATATTATTTATTCTTTTTGATATGAAACCAAGAATTCTATTCGCTTCATTGCAAACACCTATGCACTGTTGTCTTGGTTTCAGATTACTGCTAACCAGAACTCCTAAATTCTTTTCGTAGTCAGTAATATTAAGATCTACATTATTTAGTTTATGCGTGACATGGCACGGCTCTGGCAAGACAGTGATGGAGTGAATGATGATGAAAGTGTTTCTTTTTTTTATGGGTCACCCTGCCTTGATAGGAAACAGCTGATGTGTTATAAAAGAAATCAGCTTACTTCCTCTATGGCTATTAATTGTAGTACCTAAGAGGATTAAAAGTGATGCTGGTGTCAAAGAGACAAACTTGAAACTCATAATTTCTAAGAAAATTGTGATTGAAATTATGGTTAAAGTAGATGTTGATGGTGGTGGAGGTTATGGCTGGTAGGTTACTCACACAATTATATATTCTTGTGCCTTAAATAGTCATTTACCTACCCTAGCTGCATTTATTTAATTGTTGTCCCCTCTGGGGACGTTCATTGATGCTGGTGAGGGGCTCTTGATCTAGGGAATTGGATCTGTGCTCCAATTCCCTGAATTAAGCCTGAATACCTTCTACTCCCCCCCCCCCCACAGGTGCTGTATAATCCCTTTGGGTTTAGCACTCCACATAATTATAATAATAATAATATAATTATTGTACTTATATGTTGGTGATTGATAATAGTGTGGAAAGGTTACCAGAAGAGAAAATTATGTAAAGTTTATGATGTAGTGAAGACAGAAGTCGTGGTCAGCTATTTTGACTGATAAGAGCCACCTCAAGTACAGTGGATCCCCGCATAACGATTACCTCCGAATGCGACCAATTATGTAAGTGTATTTATGTAAGTGCGTTTGCACGTGTATGTTTGGGGGTCTGAAATGGACTAATCTACTTCACAATATTTCTTATGGGAAAAAATTCGGTCAGTACTGGCACCTGAACATACTTCTGGAGTGAAAAAATATCGTTAACCGGGGGTCCACTGTACAGTGGTACCTCGAGTGTCGAACTGCTCCCAACTCCAACAATTACGTTAGTGTAGTTTTGTAAGTGCTTTTGTAAGTGTATTTTTGGGGGTCTGAAATGGACTAATCTAATTTACATTATTCCTTATGGGAACAAATTCGTTTGGTAACGGGACTTGAACAGCCTTCTGGAATGAAATTATGGTCAAAACTCTACATACCACTGTATGTCTACACACTTGTGGAACAACAAGAACAAGGAATGGAAAGAAAGATAATGTTCTTTCTTGTCACTTTCTAGTCTGTGAATCTGGTAGTATACAATACCGACATGTTGATAAGTACCTTTCACCTACACGGTAGGTGAAAGGTACTCAGCTGAAGGAGCCTACTGTGTAGGTGAAACATTTTGGAATAAAGATACCGAACTGTTGCACATACTTGGAGAGGGTTTCGGTGGTCAACGCCCCCACAACCCAGTCCCAGACCAGGCCTTATGGTGGATCAGGGTCTGATCAGCCAGGCTGTTACTGCTGGCCGCAGGTAAACCAGCATACAAACTACAACCTGGCTGATCAGGTACTGACTTTAGGTGCCTGTCCAGTGCCTTCTTGAAGACAGCCAGGGGTCTGTTGGTAATCTTCCTTATGTATGCTGGGAGGCAGTTGAAAAATCTTATTTTTATTTATTTCTTTATTTTGTGTCTTTGCAAACAGTACATTGAGATTTTATATTTACAATAGTGGGTTGCAATGCAAAGAGAGCCTTGATTATGCCTAGGCATAATAGGCACCTGACACTTAACATGTTGTTTCTTACCATACCCCCGGCCGGGATTGAACCTGCGGTCATAGAGTCTCAAAACTCCAGCCCGTTGCGTTAGCCACTAGACCAGCTAGCCACAATAAGATTCATCCAACTAGGTATATTTCTACACCATAGGAAGGTTAGCACAGGCACCTCTGTGACCACAAATGCAAGTTTTTACAGACGAATCTCCAGCTAGCGTGGCCGTGACGAACTCTAGCTCAAGTCCCTTCACCTAGTTGGATGAATCTTATTGTGGCTAGCTGGTCTAGTGGCTAACGCGACGGGCTGGAGTTTTGAGACTATGACCGCGGGTTCAATCCCGGCCGGGGGTATGGTTTGTTTGCAATCGTGTCATTACGATTTCTTAAGTCATGTTGTTTCTTAGCGTGCGTGTAGCGCCCCTGCTTTTCATGTGTCTTATCACTTTTTACGCTGTTTACAACAAGAGTGAATGAATGAAACTGTTGTTTGTTGTTGTGAATGCTGGCGGTTCTGAGTAGTGCTCTTGTCTCTCAGTCAGTACAGAATATTTAAATTAAATTAAAAATATGATAATGTTGCCATTTTTAACTGTAGTGTAGGCATGCCTCTGGCAAGACAGTGATGGAGTGAATGGTGATGAAAGTGTTTCTTCTTCGGGTCACTTGAAGAGGGCTCTTCATCTGGGGAATTCAGATGCTCTTAATTTCTCAGATCAAGCTTGGTTATCTCCCAGTCCTCAGGTACTGTATAACCCTTACAGGTTTAGTGCCTCCTCCTAATGAATATAACAGTACAAGTGTTCCTCAACTTGCGATGGTTCGACTTGCTTTGTTTTGACTTTTTGATAGTGCAAAAGCAGTTATTTTGGAGATAAAACTTGAGATAATTATCCAGCATGAAGGCAACAAGTCCATAATTTGTATACATTTTTTTTTTTAATTTTCAATACTGGTATATAGTTATAGGAATTATCTGTTTATTTCCTTATTCAGTGATAGTACGGTAGTTCCCCCGTATTTGCAGGGGATGCATTCCAAGACCATCAATGGATACCTGAAACCACGGATAGTAGTGAACCCTATATACAAGTCATTTTTTGTTATGTACATACCTATGATAATTTAATTGATAAATTAGGCAAAATAAGACATTACTAATATTAAATAATAATAAAATATGTACAGCCGGGATTGATGGGATAAAGATAGAAATGTTAAAAGCAGGTGGGGATATAGTTTTGGAGTGGTTGGTGCAATTATTTAATAAATGTATGGAAGAGGGTAAGGTACCTAGGGATTGGCAGAGAGCATGCATAGTTCCTTTGTATAAAGGCAAAGGGGATAAAAGAGAGTGCAAAAATTATAGGGGGATAAGTCTGTTGAGTGTACCTGGTAAAGTGTATGGTAGAGTTATAATTGAAAGAATTAAGAGTAAGACGGAGAATAGGATAGCAGATGAACAAGGAGGCTTTAGGAAAGGTAGGGGGTGTGTGGACCAGGTGTTTACAGTGAAACATATAAGTGAACAGTATTTAGATAAGGCTAAAGAGGTCTTTGTGGCATTTATGGATTTGGAAAAGGCGTATGACAGGGTGGATAGGGGGGCAATGTGGCAGATGTTGCAAGTGTATGGTGTAGGAGGTAGGTTACTGAAAGCAGTGAAGAGTTTTTACGAGGATAGTGAGGCTCAAGTTAGAGTATGTAGGAAAGAGGGAAATTTTTTCCCAGTAAAAGTAGGCCTTAGACAAGGATGTGTGATGTCACCGTGGTTGTTTAATATATTTATAGATGGGGTTGTAAGAGAAGTAAATGCGAGGGTCTTGGCAAGAGGCGTGGAGTTAAAAGATAAAGAATCACACACAAAGTGGGAGTTGTCACAGCTGCTCTTTGCTGATGACACTGTGCTCTTGGGAGATTCTGAAGAGAAGCTGCAGAGATTGGTGGATGAATTTGGTAGGGTGTGCAAAAGAAGAAAATTAAAGGTGAATACAGGAAAGAGTAAGGTTATAAGGATAACAAAAAGATTAGGTGATGAAAGATTGAATATCAGATTGGAGGGAGAGAGTATGGAGGAGGTGAACGTATTCAGATATTTGGGAGTGGACGTGTCAGCGGATGGGTCTATGAAAGATGAGGTGAATCATAGAATTGATGAGGGAAAAAGAGTGAGTGGTGCACTTAGGAGTCTGTGGAGACAAAGAACTTTGTCCTTGGAGGCAAAGAGGGGAATGTATGAGAGTATAGTTTTACCAACGCTCTTATATGGGTGTGAAGCGTGGGTGATGAATGTTGCAGCGAGGAGAAGGCTGGAGGCAGTGGAGATGTCATGTCTGAGGGCAATGTGTGGTGTGAATATAATGCAGAGAATTCGTAGTTTGGAAGTTAGGAGGAGGTGCGGGATTACCAAAACTGTTGTCCAGAGGGCTGAGGAAGGGTTGTTGAGGTGGTTCGGACATGTAGAGAGAATGGAGCGAAACAGAATGACTTCACGAGTGTATCAGTCTGTAGTGGAAGGAAGGCGGGGTAGGGGTCGGCCTAGGAAGGGTTGGAGGGAGGGGGTAAAGGAGGTTTTGTGTGCGAGGGGCTTGGACTTCCAGCAGGCATGCGTGAGCGTGTTTGATAGGAGTGAATGGAGACAAATGGTTTTTAATACTTGACGTGCTGTTGGAGTGTGAGCAAAGTAACATTTATGAAGGGATTCAGGGAAACCGGCAGGCCGGACTTGAGTCCTGGAGATGGGAAGTACAGTGCCTGCACTCTGAAGGAGGGGTGTTAATGTTGCAGTTTAAAAACTGTAGTGTAAAGCACCCTTCTGGCAAGACAGTGATGGAGCGAATGATGGTGAAAGTTTTTCTTTTTCGGGCCACCCTGCCTTGGTGGGAATCGGCCAGTGTGATAATAATAATAATAATAATAATAATAATAATAATAATGTACATTACTCCGCTGCTGCCAGTACCACCGCTGATTGATATTAGGACCATTGCTGTGTCTGGTTTGTGACACACACCAGATGGTATCAAGTCAGTTGCGTCTTTCTTCACTGATGATGCAAATCTAATGCCAGGTGAACATGTATGAACAGTGCAGATGCACAGGCATGAAACGTGTATATATCCGACCACCTACCCAGAACACTAACGATGGCGATGACACTGCCACCACTACCACCGTCCCTCCTGATACTGCTGACCAAGACTTTTGACAATGCTCGCATGTGTGTGTGTGCTGCCAAATCCAGTTTTCAGTATATTGTTTTTTATTCATTTGTTTGTTGATTGATTTTAATGAAACTTTATGTGACCATGTTTCGTGCACTCTTATTCGAACACAAAAAAAAATTGACATCGGAAGATAAAAAAAAAAATGAATCCTCAGTTTTCAACTTCCTTAATATTTTTGGGTCAAGGTAAACTGCAGATAACTGAACCGTGGCCATGAAAGTTCTACTGTAGTTATTTATTTATTTAGTTATTTATTTAGCATATACAGTGGACCCCCGGTTAACGATATTTTTTCACTCCAGAAGTATGTTCAGGTGCCAGTACTGACCGAATTTGTTCCCATAAGAAATATTGTGAAGTAGATTAGTCCATTTCAGACCCCCAAACATACACATACAAACGCACTTACATAAATACACTTACATAATTGGTCACATTCGGAGGTAATCATTATGAGGGGGTCCACTGTATTCATTTTCCCTAGGTAGTAGGTTGATAGGCAGCAACCACCCAGGGAGGTACTACCGACCTGCCGAGCGAGTGTAAAACGGAAACCTGTAATTGTTTTACATGATGGTAGGGTTGCTGGTGTCTTCTTTTGTCTCATAAACACTCAAGATTTCAGGTATGTCTTGCTACTTGTAATTACACTTAGGTCACACTACACATGCATTTACATGCATATATATACACACACTCCTCTGAGTTTTCTTCTATTATCTTACTAGTTCTTGTTTATTCCCTCTTATTTCCATGGGTAAGTAGAAGAGAATTCTTCCTCCATAACCTGTGCGTGTCGTAAGAGGCAACTTAAATGCTGGGAGCATTTTATCCTGTATACATTACTAAAGTTAAAGAAAAACTTTTTGAGCCACCCTGTTTTGGTGGGATACGGCTGGTTGGTTGAAAGAAGATATTCATTTTCAACTTACGTTGAGCTTGCTGGAACGCAGCCCCATCGTAAGTTGAGGCGCACCTGTATTAAGTGTGCTTTTTCATGGAGTAGACTGGAAGGGTAAACTAAGTAAATTCGTATGGAGGTCTTTATATAGCCCTGTTTTCCTTCTCTCACCAGACCAAAGTGGGTACGCAGAAGTTTACGGAAGAAGAAAGCCGGGCAGAACAGTGACCTGGATGGCAAGCAGCGGCAGCGAAGAGTGGAGGCAGACGCTCGGGAGCTTTACGACAACACCAAACACGAGTTGACGCAGAGACTGGAGAACCTGCGCACCAGAGGCAGGTGAATACTCCCTATCATTAACACAGGCTCACTGCAAGCACTGGGCAGGTGAATACTTCCTATCATTAACACAGGCTCACTGCAAGCACTGGGCAGGTGAATACTCCCTATCATTAACACAGGCTCACTGCAAGCACTGGGCAGGTGAATACTTCCTATCATTAACACAGGCTCACTGCAAGCACTGGGCAGGTGAATACTCCCTATCATTAACACAGGCTCACTGCAAGCACTGGGCAGGTGAATACTTCCTATCATTAACACAGGCTCACTGCAAGCACTGGGCAGGTGAATACTTCCTATCATTAACACAGGCTCACTGCAAGCACTGGGCAGGTGAATACTCCCTATCATTAACACAGGCTCACTGCAAGCATTCGGCCAGTAGTTTTTATTTTGCGACATTCTGCCTGTAGCGGGTTAGAAAGTTGGTAGACAACAGCCACTCAGAGGAGTATCGTGATTGAGTGAACATCATTGAGACTGTTTCCTCTTTTTTGGGTCAATCTACCTTGGTGTGAGAGCCATTGTATTAAACAGTCACTGGACACTTGGTTATCAAACAAATAGACCAGTTAAACAAAAGTCCCTGGGTCATGGCAAACTGTTCTCAGGGGTATTTAACCCTTTCACGTTAACATTAATTTCATCGTTGAGAAATTGGTCTAGTGTGTGTAAGTCACGAAAAATGTGAAACGGTGAGAAAGATATATTAATAATAATAATAACTTTTGCATATCACAGTGCATATGTGTATACTTGTGTATCTAAAAATGCAAATAACAGTACGTACTGGTTAGCAAGGGGTGGTGGTGGTGGTGGGAAGTACAGTGCCTGCACTGTAAAGGAGGGGTGGTGGTGGTGGTGGTGGAAAGTACAGTGCTTGCACTCTGAAGGAGGGGTTTGAGATATTTGCTGTTTAGAGTGACATGTAAACTGTCGTATCTGCTCGCCTCTGGAAAGACAGTGTGAATGATGGTGAAAGTTTTTCGTTTTTGGGTCACCCTGCCTCAGTATGAGATGGCCAGCGGATTAACCCTTAAAAGGTCCAAACGTATATATACGTTCACGTGTGTAGCACCCTGAACGTATATATACGTTTTCTTTGTCATTCATTCAACATTGCCACGATAAGCCTGAGTCACCTAGAAATGAGAGAATGGGTGTGCACACTCACGGTGCACCATATTAAAATAATTGGGGATGCCTGGGTACCATATGCTCTTTTTTCCTATTAAAAAAAAAAATTATTTTTTCTCAAAAAATTTGGGGCGCTACGTGAGTGAACGTATATATACGTTTGGACTGTTTAAAGGTTAAAAAAAATACTTACATTAACTCTTGTAGTATTGGTGCTACAAGCAACTGTATATTTGAAAACTAGATTCATCAACTAAATGCAATGGTATAAATACTTGAATACTGCATAAAATATACTAAAAATTTGCAGTTAACATGTAGCAGGTCACTGGAGTGACGAGGATTTAAACCCACTTTCTGGAACCACATTAAGGGTGGGGTTTGAATCCACGGCGAGTGAGTGGTAAGACTCCAGGCCAGTGTGTAAGTCACTGGTCCAGCTGGCTACAGTAAGATTCATCCAAGTAGGTATATTTATACATCATAGGGAGGTTAGCATGGGCCACCACTGTGTACACAAATGCAAGTTTTAACAGATGAATCTCCCACCAGCATAGCCGTGATGAACTCTAACTTAAGTCCCCCTCACTTGCCATGGGTTCTAACCCCACCTGTACTGTGGTTTGTTTGCAATAGCATCATTACGATTTTGCGAGTCATGATCTCAAGTGGATCTGAATACCAGTTACTCTATTCCAAGGATGCTGATTATTTTAATTAACTTGGTATGATAGTATTACTGAGTGTTGATGTTTGTTGGTATGACAATTTTACCATGTTGAGTGTTTGTCACTTTTTTTGTTTGTTGATTTCATACTCTGTTGTGCATGTTGTACTTGAATTATCTCTGTGGTCAGAAGTACTCCATATATGTCACTACTACTGCTTCACCGTTGAAATACTCATTTGACAACTAGAAGTATTTTGACTTACTCTTTGTTGTGTAAGTTTTTATGGGTTGATAATCTTAATTTTTAAAGAGGTGGCGTGGTAAGCAAAGTGGTAGGTGTCGGTCAGACAACCAAACGCTCTAGTGACGGATCATTGTATGACTAAAACCTGCGTCAGGAAATACTTTTCCTGTTTCCTGACAGATCTTACCTAACCATTAATGGGGGGACAGGTGGGCATCTTCTGAGGCTGTATTTAACATATGATTGGTCATACGTATGGGGTACCAGTAGAAATATTAAAGCTGCCCTCAAACGTGACAAGTTCTCCAACATAGAGTAGGTACTTTTTTTTCAGAGTGCTGACGCCTTACGAAGCCAAGAGCCTGGTGGCGCTGCTGTACTCTGAGGACAAGACGCTGGTGGAGAGGACGCTTGTCACTATTGCCAACTGTGCCGCTTTCAGCGTCAACTTGGTAATTACATTAATCAAAATTTTCATTTCTTTGTGTAGTATACAAACTGTAGTTGACATGTAATATTAAGTGCAAAGAAAGTCACTAGTATGCACGAGCATTGCAGTAAATTGCAATAACATCACCGTAAGTAAGTTTTTCAGGTACAGGTACACATAAATACAGTTACATTATTATACATAGCTTGTGTGTAGATTTCCCAAAAGGATAACCCAAAAAAAAGTCAAAATGACTTACTTCCAATGGGGTCCTTGGTAGAAAGGCAATATGTAAAATAACCACAGTGAAAAAAAAAAAAGTGAAATTCCAAGCACTCTCATTATTTCTCACATTATCCACAATCGTGTGAGAAATCACAAAATCACTTGGAATTTCACTATTTTTTCACTTTGGTTATTTTTCATGTTAATAGTTATAACAACAGTATTAAAGAAATTTGAAGATAAGTTCAACTGATTTATTTATTTCCTACAGTACACAGATAATATAATTTACATGTCATAAAACATTGATTTAAACACACAAACTCACTAGTATGTGGTGCATTTCCGGCAGACTAATATTAATGTTGCAGTTTTATAACTGTAGTGTAAGTGCACCTCTGGCAAAACAGTGATGGTGTGAATGATGGTGAAAGCTTTTCACTTTTTGGGCCGCCCTGCCTTGGTGGGAGACGGCCGACATGTTAATAAAACATTAAAACCACTGAAGAACAAGTCATAGATTATTAAGTAGGAGTTTTTAATTGTACAAAAAGAGAGGTAACTAAATGAACAACAGTACAGTTTTAACCCTTAAATGGTCCAAACGTATATATACGTTTTTTCAACTTCTGAAAGTATGTAAAAAAATGTAGATCTTTTTTGTTTTACATTTGAAAACATGTAAAAAAAACATTATTTTTTTTTTTATATTTGAAAATGTGTAAAAAAAAGTAGATCTACTTTTGTAGCTACGAATTTGAACGTCGATCTGTTTGGACCGTTTAAGGGTTAAAAACATGTATTTAATGCATTAAACTGACTTAGTTCAAATTTTTTTTTTTTTTTTATTATTATCACACTGGCCGATTCCCACCAAGGCAGGGTGGCCCGAAAAAGAAAAACTTTCACCATCATTCACTCCATCACTGTCTTGCCAGAAGGGTGCTTTACACTACAGTTTTTAAACTGCAACATTAACACCCCTCCTTCAGAGTGCAGGCACTGTACTTCCCATCTCCAGGACTCAAGTCCGGCCTGCCGGTTTCCCTGAACCCCTTCATAAATGTTACTTTCCTCACACTCCAACAGCACATCAAGTATTAAAAAAACCATTTGTCTCCATTCACTCCTATCAAACACGCTCACGCATGCCTGCTGGAAGTCCAAGTCCCTCCAACCTTTCCTAGGCCGACCCCTACCCCGCCTTCCTTCCACTACAGACTGATACACTCTTGAAGTCATTCTGTTTCGCTCCATTCTCTCTACATGTCCGAACCACCTCAACAACCCTTCCTCAGCCCTCTGGACAACAGTTTTGGTAATCCCGCACCTCCTCCTAACTTCCAAACTACGAATTCTCTGCATTATATTCACACCACACATTGCCCTCAGACATGACATCTCCACTGCCTCCAGCCTTCTCCTCTCTTCAAAATATATATACAAATTTTGGAAAGTTGTAACACTACAATATAGCAATATTGGAGCCAGTTATAACACTAGTTTTACAGTACAGTAATCTCTCAGTCTGTGATGGATTCCTCTACAGTCAGCTCAATTATAGAGCTCGTATCCTATCAATAAATGTACTGTACTGTATAGTACTGAATGTGCATTGCTATAGCACCATTGTAAAGTCAAAATATCATGAGTCGAAGCTTTGTAAAGCAAGGAGCAACTGTAGCGTAGTTCTGTGTATCTCTGGTTGGTTATGTTCCTGAAATTGATGCTGTGTAATTTTTTTTTTTTTTATTTTTTATTAACACATCGGCCATCTCCCACCAAGACGGGATGGCTTGAAAAAGAAGAACTTTCACCATCATTCACTCTATCACTGTCTTGCCAGAGGCATACTTACAGTAGTTGTAAAACTGCAACATTAACACCCCTCCTTCAGAGTGCAGAAACTGTACTTCCCATCTCCAGGACTCAAGTCCAGCCTGCCAGTTTCCCTGAATCCCTGAATCTGCTCATACACCAACAGCATTTCAAGTCCTAAAAATCACTTGCCTCCATTTGCTCGTATCTAACACGCTCAGGCATGCTTGCTGGAAGTCCAAGCCCCTCTCACACAAAACCTTTCCTAGGCCAACCCCAACCCCGCCTTCCCTCCACTACAGATTTATACACTCGAAGTCATTCTATTTTGTTCCACCCTCTCTACATGTCCAAACCACCTCAACAACCCCTCCTCACAGCCCTCTGGATAATAGTTTGGTAATCCTGCACCTCCTCCTAATTTCCAAACTACAAATTCTCTGCATTCACACATTGCCCTCAGACATGACAACTCCACTGCCTCCAGCCTCCTCCTCGTTGCAACATTCACCACCCATGCTTCACACCCATATAAGAGTGTTGGTATAACTATACTCTCATACATTCCCCTCTTTGCTTCCATGGACAAAGTTCTTTGTCTCCACAGACTCCTAAGTGCACCACTCACTTTTTACCGCTCATCAATTCTATGATTCACCTCATCTCTCATAGACCCATCTGCTGACACGTCCACTCCTAAATATCTGAATGCATTCACCTCCTCCATACTCTCTCCCTTCAATCTGATATCCAATCTTTCATTACCTAATTTTTTGTTATCCTCATCACCTTATTCTTTTCTATATTCACTTTTAATTTTTTTCTTTGACATACCCTACCAAACTCATCCACCAGCCTCTGCAACTTCTCAGAATCTCCCAAAAGCACAGTGTCATCAGCAAAGAGCAACTGTGACAACTCCCACTTTGTATTAGATTCTTTATCTTTTAACTCCACACCTCTTGCCAAGACCCTCGCATTTACTTCTCTTACAACCCCATGTATAAATATATTGAACAATCATGGTGATATCACACAACCTTGTCTAAGGCCTACTTTTACTGGGAAATAATCTCCCTTTCTCTTACAAACTCTAAACCGAGCCTCACTATCCTCGTAAAAACTCTTCACTGCTTTCAGTAACCTACCTCCTATTCCATACATTTGCAACAACTGCCACATTGCCCCCCCTATCCGCCCTGTCATACGCCTTTTCCAAATCCAATAATGCCACAAAACCTCTTTAACCTTATCTATATACTGTTCAACTATGTTTCACTGTAAACACTTGGGCTACACAACCCCGACCTTTCCTATAGCCTACTCGTTTATCTGCTATCCTACTCTCTGTCTAGTAAGTAAGTAAGGTTTGTTTCTCTGTAAAGGTTACAGTGTGTAGTTACAATTTCGATTTGTTAAGTACAAAGATAGCCACTATCATGCCGAGGCATTTTGGGCAGACTAATCCCAATACAGTGGTCCCTCGTTTTTCGTAATTAATCCGTTCCTGGAGGAGCTACTATAAACGAAATTTGCGATTTGCGAATCAATTTTCCCCATAAGAAATAATGTAAATACAATTAATCCGTTCCTGACACCCAGAAGTATTAAAACAAAAAAATTTTTTACATGAAATATGCATGTAGTACATAAACAATACAATGGGAAGTGATGAATGAAACATTAACAGCATAACACTTACCTTTATTGGAGATTCTTCTTAGTGTATGAGAGACTGGAGGAGGAGAGAGATTGGATTGTTTACAGTTTGGAAGGGGAATCCCCTTCCATCAACACCTCAGGTACCAATTGCTTCTCTGGGGTTGCTTCTCTTCTCTGTTTCTTAATGCCACTAGGACCACCTTGAGAGTCACTCTAGTCCTGTCTCGCAAAATAACTGTGGAGAGAGCTCTGTTTCTGGCGTCTCTTTAACACTTCCCTAAAATGGCCCAAGACTTTGTCACTGTACATATTTCTCACCTTCTTTACCACAGGCTTGGCACTAGGAGCTTTCTTTGGAGCCATGGTAGCTTATTTAGTACTTGCAAGCACTAAAATGAGTGGAATATTATGAAATATTTCGTAGGAGCCCTTGAGGGGACCTTCACTCACTGGTAAACAATGCCAGACTGGCTGGGTAGGGAGGCTACCCCGGCTCACACCGTGCGTACGCGTCCCGGACGAACTACTATTCGTGAGTCAACCTATGAAAAGCGAGTCCATGTTTATACGAAAATACCCCTATGATTGGCGAAATTTACGATTGCCGAGAACTACGAAAAGCGAGGGACCACTGTGCATAGTAACAAATTAAAACTAGATAAGATAATAGTACTTAGTAACTATACTTAAAACTAGACAAGAAGCAGTGGTTAACTGTTTTACAATCTTATTTGAACCTAATTCAAGTGAGAGGTAGTAAGGTGGAGTAGGGTTCGGTAAAATAATCTTGAAATTGCACACAAAATGTACCTTACAAGTAATGGTGCAGGTGGTAATATTTTATGGATTGGTAGAATTAAAAGCCAGGAGGTCACATAATAAAACGAATTAGAAGGTGTTATGGTTGATTTGGTTAATATTGAGAGATAAGATGATTTTTTTAGCAAAGTCCTAAATTTATAAGCTGTCAGGGGATCCTTGACCTGTTCCGGTAGCGAGCTCCAGATCTTCGGACCTTTTATGTGCATAGCGTTCTTGCATAGTGAGAGACTGACTCAAGGGATGTTGAAAAGTGCCTTATGCCTTGTATTGTGGCTGTGCATTCTGTTGTAACTGTCAAGGAGTAGTTTTAGGGGAGGGTTTACAGTGGAGTTTAATGTTCTGTATATGTAGTAGGCACAATAATAAAAGTGTATGTCTTGTATATTTTGCAAGTTGAGTCTTTTGAAAAGTGGTGGGGTGTGCTGTCTAGCACAGGGGCTGGTTATCACCCGCACAGCAGCTCTTTGTTGGATTATTAAGGGTCTAAGGTGGTTGGCTGTGGTTGAACCCCCAGTTTTAGGGGAGGGTTTACAGTGGAGTTTAATGTTCTGTATATGTAGTAGGCACAATAATAAAAGTGTATGTCTTGTATATTTTGCAAGTTGAGTCTTTTGAAAAGTGGTGGGGTGTGCTGTCTAGCACAGGGGCTGGTTATCACCCGCACAGCAGCTCTTTGTTGGATTATTAAGGGTCTAAGGTGGTTGGCTGTGGTTGAACCCCAGGCACAAATACCATAGGTGAGGTAAGGATATATTAGAGAGTGGTATAGGGTAAGGCGTGTAGTTTGTGGTACATATTATCGTATATTGGAAAGGATTCCTACTGATTTGGAAAATGGAACTATGCATGCTCTGCCAATTCCTAGATACCTTACTCTCTTATATCTTTCTTTCAACACACCGGCCTTATCCCACCGAGGCGGTGTGGCCCAAAAGGAAAAACTAAAGTTTCTCCTTTTAAATTTAGTAATTTATACAGGAGAAGGGGTTACTAGCCCCTTGCTCCTGGCATTTTAGTCGCCTCTTACAACACGCATGGCTTACAGAGGAAGAATTTTGTTCCACTTCCCCATGGAGATGAGAGGAAATAAACAAGAACAAGAACTAGAAAGAAAATAGCAGAAAACCCAGAGGGGTTTGTGTATATATGTGCTTGTACATGTATGTGTAGTGTGACCTAAGTGTAAGTAGAAGTAGCAAGACGTACCTGAATTCTTGCATGTTTATGAGACACAAAAAACACCAGCAATCCTACCATCGTGTAAAACAATTACAGGCTTTCGTTTTACACTCACTTGGCAGGACAGTAGTACCTCCCTGTGCGGTTGCTGTCTACCAACCTACTACCTAGGACTCTCTTATATACATTTATTAAATAAAAGCACCAACCACTCAAAACTATATCCCCACCTGCTTTTAACATTTCTATCTTTATCCCATCAGTCCCAGCTGCTTTACCACCTTTCATTCTACCCACTGCCTCACAAACTTTCCCCACACTCACAGCTGGCCCTTCCTCGCTTCTCTTTTTTTTTTTTCAACAAGTCGGCCATCTCCCACCTAGGCAGGGTGACCCAAAAAGAAAGAAAATCCCCAAAAAGAAAATACTTTCATCATCATTCAACACTTTCACCTCACTCATACATAATCACAGTTTTTGCAGAGGTGTCCAGATACAACAGTTTAGAAGCATATATAAAGATACAGTATAAAAAGTGACCTGAAATAATATAATAAACTCAGTAATATAATACTCATAATATAATACTATTATAAGATATTATTCCTCTTTGCCCTATACACGAAATCACAGCTCTCCTTTCTTCAACATTTAACAGTTTCTCAAAATATTCCCTCCATTTTCCCGATACCTCTAACTCTCCATTTAATAACTCTCCTCTCCTATTTTTTAGTATCAAATCCATTCGTTCCCTTGGCTTCCTCAGCTTATTAATCTCGCTCCAAAATTTGTTGTTATTTTCAACAAAATTTGTTGATAACATCTCGCCCACTCTCTCATTTGCTCTCTTTTTACATTGCTTCACCACTCTCTTAACCTCTCTTTTTCTCTCCATATACTCTTCCCTCCTTGCATCACTTCTACTTTGTAAAAACCTCTCATATGCTAACTTTTTCTCCCTTACTACTTTCTTTACATCATAACACAATAACAAAAAAAAAGGCACAATACCGTGACTGGAACGATACACAAATAACCCGCACATAAAAGAGAGAAGCTTACGACGACGTTTCGGTCCGACTTGGACCATTGACAAAGTCACAAGCTTCTCTCTTTTATGTGCGGGTTATTTGTGTATCTCTTTACATCATCATTCCACCAGTCGCTCTTCTTCCCTCCCACATCCACTTTCCTGTAACCACAAACTTCTGCTGAACACACTAACACTACATTTTTAAACCTATCCCACACATCTTTGACCCCATTGCCTATGCTCTCACTAGCCCATCTGTCCTCCAATAGTTGTTTATATCTTACCCTAACTGCCTCCTCCTTTACCTTATAAACCTTCACCTCTCTTGTACCTGCTGCAGCAGGTAAAACTATAGCTGTATATAATGTTAATAACATATGGAAAAGAGGATTATGTTTCTCAGGCCTCCAAAAATTTTTTTTTTAATTTATAATTGTCAGAAACAAATTGTTGATATCTTAGATTGTAGATGTTATTGCTTATTAATCTAGAAATGTGTTCAATAGCTAACTAGAAATGAATTTAATAGCTAACTTTTGTACTAAGTTATCACCTGTTACAGGTAAAATTATCCTTTATATCATCAAGAGCATTCCCAAGCTACGATTTTTTCAGGATTTTTTGAGAGAGATGGGTTGCATCCACCGACTCACGACCCTTCTGGACGACGATGATGTTCGGTTGCCAGCTGTCCAGACACTGGGAAATGTGGTCCTATCTGAGGAAAATATCAGGGAAGCCAGAGTGAGTCCACAAATGAACTTTATATCTATACAGTGGAATACAGTATATTATAAAATTACGGTGATTGATTCACAAATAACCTGCACATAGCAGAAAAAACTTACGACATTTCAGTCCCATTTGTGCAAGTCCCACTCAAATCCAACCAATCCCATTCATGTGTTTATATAACCTATATTTGAAGCTACCCAACGTTTTACTTCAATAACCCTACTAGGCGGTATTACAATAAAATGGGTATATGCCTGATAGGTAGGATTGCTGGTGTCTTTTTTCTGTCTCATACACATGCAAGATTTCAGGTACATCTTGCTATTTCTACTTGCACTTAGGTTACACTACACATGTACAAGCATGCATGATCGTGTTAGATAGGAGTGAATGGAGACGAATGGTTTTTGGGACCTGACGAGCTGTTGGAGTGTGAGCAGGGTAATATTTAGTGAAGGGATTCAGGGAAACCGGTTGTTTATATATAGCCGTACCTGAGTCTTGGCAATGGGAAGTACAATGCCTGCACTTTAAAGGAGAGGTTTGGGATATTGGCAGTTTAGAGGGATATGTTATATATCTTTATATATGCTTCTAAACTGTTGTATGTGGGTGCCTCTGCAAAAACAGTGATTATGTATGAGGCGAAAGTGTTGAATGATGATGAAAGTATATATTCTTTTTGGGGATTTTCTTTCTTTTTTGGGCCACCCTGTCTCGATGGGATGCAGCTGGTGCGTTGAAAGAAGTATGGTAACAGTGAATGTCTTCTGAGGCGATGTGTTACTTTATTGGTTCTTAATTACAGGCAGTGCGTTTAATTGCGCTGGGGGTCAACCAAGCCCCCAGCCTGCGAGGGAGAGAGCCGGGCGAATGAGGCAGATACAGCATCTTGTGGGCTCAAGGTAGGCCTAAGCCCACAAGATGGCAGCACTGACATGATGCTAAATATAAACCCCAACAGGCTATACAACAGACCGTTCCATTCATCGTCTACTGTGGGACCAAAATGTCGTCATAAGTTTCATCCACATGTGGGTTATTTGCGTATTGTTTCAGTCACGGTATTGTGTGGTTATATTCTCTTCAGGGTGACTGACATACAATAGGACCCCTGTATCCAAGAGCCCAGTATCCATAGTTTCGGTTATCCATGGTTTGCTGTGACCCAAAAATAACTTAGTTTTGCCTAATAATGGCCCAGAAGTATGTAAGTAGTGAAGTGGAAGTTCTTTAAAGCCTATGAGAAGCCATGAAATTCTCCACTTATTGTGTGTAATTTATCAATTAACCCTTTCACTGTCGGTCCCATAATATTATGGTTTGCAAGCCAGTGTTAGTCATGTAATAGTACACCAAAATCCTAGCGACTTCTAATCTTGGTAGGCCTACATATAAGAGAATGAGTCTGAGTGGTCAGTGTGTGCAGTATAAAAAAAACCTGCAGCACGCAGTGCTCCAGGATTTTTAAAGCAGCGACTTTACGGTGTATTTTCATATGGTATTTATGGTTGTATTCTTATGTTCTTGGTCTCATTTGATAGAATGGAAGATATATTACAGAATTAGAGATGATTTTGAATGGTTTAAGGACTAAAAGTACCTTGAAATTAAGCTCAGAATAGTGAAAATGTTAGATTTTTGCTAATGTGATTTGTTTACTCTTAAACAAATCACATTATGCGTCCAATGTGTGTGAACTGGTGGGTCTAATATGCTTTCACAAATGTTCTGATATTATTCCATTTTCACAGTAATGCAGTAATCTGCATAACAGTAAATCTATTTTTTTGTATAAATAAAAATTCAAAATGGAAAGCAAGTGTAATATAAGAGGGGCCTGGAGACATTACTGATGAACAGAGGAAATGTTACTTTAGTGCTAGGAATCTTTGCATTGTTAATTCTGCACCCTATTTTGAAATTGGCATTCCTTGAATTGTGTATGAAATTTGCCAAATTACCAATTTCTGATCACTTTATTGGGCACTTGAAATAGGTAAATGGGTGGTTTCTTGTGCTCAGTCGATAGAACAAAAGGAGTTCTAGTGAAATAGCTATGAATTTGGTTGACTGGAGCAATGGAATTGGCCGAAAATAGGGCTCTAAGTGGGCAAAATTGCCAATGCGTAAATATCGCTGAGACTGCTAACTGCACGAGAGCATAATTCTGTAAGTTTTCCACTAAATTTTGTACTTTTGGTTTCATTACCAATGCGAAAAGATTTTCTATCATTTCATAAGACAAATAATTTTTTTTTTAATTCTCGATACTGAGAGCAAGTTTGTGAGCAGCAGTGGTCGCCACAGTGAAATGATTAAACTTTATAATAGGTATGTACGTAAATGCAAAAACAACTCGTTTTGATATCCATGGCAGGTCCTTGGAACATACCCCCTGTGGATACGGGAGTCTTACTGTATTGCTACTGTATAGAAAGCCCCTTGATATGCAAAGCATTTCAGGCACAGTCTCAGCTGTGTGGTGTTGTCGCTCTACTGAGCTGACTGATTCATCTACTGACGTCTAGCTGACACATACGTGAACAGATGTGTTTCTAAGGAAGAAATCTCAATAAAAATTTTATCATCACTGAAACTTTTTCTAATAAATTTTTTTTGACGCACCAGCAGTATTCCACCAAGGCAGGGTTATCTAAAAAAGGAAAACAAAAGTTTTTCTTTTTAAATTAGCAATTCTAATAATTCTAGGTAGTAGGTTGGTAGACAGCAACCGCCCAGGGAGGTACTACCGTCCTGCCAAGTGAGTGTAAAACGAAAGCCTGTAATTGTTTTACATGATGGTAGATTGCTGGTGTCCTTTTTTCTGTCTCATAAACATGCAAGATTTCAGGTACGTCTTGCTACTTCTACTTACACTTAGGTCACACTACACATACATGTACAAGCATTATATACACATCCCTCTGGGTTTTGTTCTATTTTCTTTCTAGTTCTTGTTCTTGTTTATTTCCTCTTATCTCCATGGGGAAGTGGAAAAGAATTCTTCCTCGTAAGCCATCGTGTAGAGGGCACTAAAATGCCGGGAGCAAGGGGCTAGTAACCCTCTCCTTATACTTACAAATGTTAATAGAGAAACTTTTCGTTTTTTTTTGGGCCACCCCTCGGTGGGATACGGCCGTGTGTTGAAAGAAAGAGAAGAAGATTGCTGGTATTGTTTGTTCTAAACATGCAAGATTTTAGTACGTCTATGCCCTACTTTAACTTTCAGGTCACATAATCATTACATTAAGCTTTAAACAATCCCTCTGGGGGTTTGTTCTATTATCTTTACTAGTTTGCTTTGTAATTTCTATCCATGAAATGGGAAGTGAGAAAAATTCTTCCTTTGTAAGCCATTCGTCTAGAGACTAAAATGCCGGGTGCAAGGGGTAGTAACCCCTTACTGTATACGTTACATATTTGAAAGTGAAATTTTTTATCTTTTGAGCCACCCTGTCTCGGTTGGGATATGGCCGGCTTATTAAAAGTAGTAGTATAGTACGTACTTTTAGGACATACAAATAGTTTAGTGTACTTGTAAGATCTTCCCTACTTATGAAACCTTCAGTCATTTGTAAGGTTCATTTGTTTGTGGTTAACAAAGCTTTTGGGGGTTATATAATAGAAATACGTGGACTTGGAAGAAAGCACAAAATGTAAGAATGATGCCGCTAGGATACATTATTATTTACCTTCTCCAGGATTCGCTCAAGGTTATCGAAGTTGCAACACGAATGTTCGTAATTGGGGAAGCTCTACCGTTTTTCAATGTTAAGATATAACAAATCCCTTTATTACTCTGTTTTATTGGAAGTTTACATAATCTGTATTTTCATTCATGTCTCTTAATTCAAATTAGTCTTTCAAAAAATTATCTGACTTTTGTAACCTTATATTTTTTCCAGGATTGCCTACCTATCCTCATGAGTTTTTCAGAACAGTCCGCTACGATGCTTAGGTGGCATCCCTGGTGGTGTCACAAATATTGCAACCATCTGAATGGCATGACAGTACTCTCGTCTACACAGGTAAGTCGGCTCTTGGTTTTGATTGAGGTATACTGGGGTGGTGGGGGTCTCCCCGTTAGCCCGGTCCATGACCAGATAGGAAAAGATCTGAATAATTCCAGGTGTATATATCTTAAATAGGGATGGTCTGTAAACTGAGCATAGGCACAATGCAGTCTTAGTCTATAAATTCATTGCAGAAAACACCGTAGGTCTATAGACCGTATTATTGGCAGGTGCATGAGGCTTGAATACTATAGCAAGCAATTAAGAGAAACCAGCAATTTTGGTGGGCAAAGCAAAGGATGTTAGATGTACAAAGGATGTTAGGGTGATTATCGGTTTGAGTTTGTGTGGGGAGTGAGCTTCACCTCTTTGTCCTCTCTTGTAAGTCAACTGACCGGCATGGTGTGTGGTGTCATACAGTGGGAGTATTGTGGTCTAATAATAGTAAACTTCTTTGGTATTTGACTAGCATGGTGTGTGGTGTCATACACTGGATGCTTATGACCTAGCAGTAGTAACTCCATTGAGAAATGGAGAAGAATCCTTCCTCTAAGTCGTGTGTCATAAGAGGCGACTAAATTACCGGTAGCAAGGAGCTATTAACCCTTTCTCCTGTATAAATTACTAATTGAAAAAGGAAGTGTTTTTTCATATTCGGGTAACCCTGCTTTGGTGGGAGACGTCTGGTGTGTTAAAAAAAATAGTAACTTGAACATGAAGAGACTAGCGTGGTGTGTGGTGTCATACAGTGACTGTATTATGATCCAGTAATAGACGAGTCTGGTAACTTGAACCCTGCAGAAACTGAGATAAATGTGTAAACATATTGAGTGATGGAAAAGTTTTGATTTTCAGAGTCCTTACTGTATTTATTGCATCAAAGACACTAGTTTTTTTTTTTTCCCAAAATAAGTCTTGAAAATTTACCAAATGTCTTGGAGGCCGAAGTACTGTTTATCTTTTTTTTTTTTTTTTTCAAAAATTTAGCCAGTCAGAATGGGGGGGGGAGGGTCCTCAACATCAGAGTGCCTTGTTTGCCGTAAAATACAGTACATCTTTGAAAGGAAATACACCTAGCATCCGACTCACGACCGAGTTCGGTTCCGAGAAACTGGTCGTAAGTCGAACTTTACTACTGAATATCAACAAAACATTTTTGTAATGACTTTATTTTATTGTTTTATTTTGGTATTTCATGTTTTACTTTACTTTTTATGTTGTTAGTACTGTATTTTATACTGTAAGGTTTAGGATAAACACTGTGTACAACACAAATAGTTGTTTATTTCCCAGAAATTTGGCATAAAAAACACGGTCGTAAGTCGAGTGGTCGTAAGTCGAGCAGGTCGTAAGTCGGATGGTAGGTGTATTAAATTTTCTAATTTTTAAAGGTGTAACTAATAGACAGGTAGAACAAGCTGAAAGTTTTTACAATGAAAGAACACTTCATGGAACTGAACAGAATTGAATTGATTCTTACACCAGAGTTGCAGTGAAGGAATAGTCAAGGAATATTTTTTTTTATTAACACACTGGCCATTTCCCACCAAGGTACGATGGCCTGAAAAAGAAGAAACACTTTCGTCATCATTCACTCCCTCCCTGTCTTGCCAGAGGCACACTTACACTACAATTATAAAACTGCAACATTAACACCCCTCCTTCACAGTGCAGACGCTGTACTCCCCATCTTCAGGACTTAAGTCTGGCCTGCCGGTTTCCCCGAAAGAAACATGACTACGTTATTTATTATAAGGCTCTTATAGAGAATAAGGCATTGATCCTGATACAAGACACATGACAGTGGTCAAGGTAAAATGGAAGCTGGTGAGGAACAGGTAACATTTTAAAGATTTTTGGTTGACAGATGAAAGTGTTGAAGGAAGGAGAGGAGAGGCAAAGCAAGTCTTGCTTACCTAAAACAACATAGGCTTAAATAAAAAAAAAAAACTCTTATGAGTTATACAACAAAATTACAGTAGTTACTTTGATGTATCCATGAAAACAGAGGGGAATGTATGAGAGTATAGTTGTATCAATGCTCTTATATGGATGTGAAGCATGGGTGGTGAATGTTGCAACAAGGAGAAGGCTGGAGGCAGTGGAGATGTCATGATGTCATGTCTGAGAGTAATGTGTGGTGTAAATATAATGCAGAGAATCCATAATTTGGAAATTGGAGGGTGCGGGATTACTTTAAGAATTATCTAGAGGGTTGAGGAGGGGTTGTTGAGGTGGTTCGGTCATATAGAGAGGATGGAAAAAATAGAATGACTTGTAGTGTGTATAAATCTGTAGTGGAAGGAAGGTGGGGTAGGGGTCAGTCTAGGAAAGGTTGGAGGGAGGGGGTAAATGAGTTTTTGTGTGTGAGGGGCTTGGACTTCCAGCAAATGTGCATTAGCATGTTGAATAGGAGTGAGTGGAGAGGTATGGTATTTATGACTTGACGTGCTGTTGGAGTGTGAACAATATAACTATGAAGAGATTCAGGGAAACCGGCAAGCCGGACTTTAGTCCTGAAGGTAGGAAGTACAGTGCCTGCACTCTGAAGGAGGGGTGTTAATGTTGCAGTTCTATAAATGTAGTGTAGGCTCACCTCTAGCATGACGGTGATGGAGTGAATGATGATGAAAGTGTTTGTTTTCCGGGTCACCCTGCCTTGGTGGGTCACCCTGCCTTGGTGGGTCACCCTGCCTTGGTGGGTCACCCTGCCTTGGTGGGTCACCCTGCCTTGGTGGGTCACCCTGCCTTGGTGGGTCACCCTGCCTTGGTGGGTCACCCTGCCTTGGTGGGAAACAGCTGTTGTGTAAATAAAAAATATGTACTTTGACATTATAGTTAATTATAACAATAACAAGTTTATTTTAGCATGATAAATATTTATACAAAGGAGTGTAACCGTTAGGTAAGACACATATGCAACAGTTAGGTATCTTTATTTCGAAACGTTTCGCCTACACAGTAGGCTTCTTCAGTCGAGTACAGAAAAGTTGATAGAAGCAGAAGAGACTTGAAGACGATGTAATCAGTCCATCACCCTCCCAACATCTGCGTTCAACTAGTGACCTACGTCTCACCTCCTGGCGCTATATAAGGCTCCGTCCTGTCACTTCAACTCCATATTGTTTCATTCCATGGAACAATGCTCTTCTCCAGACTGAGGGACTGACCACCTCAAAAATTTAAGGGTGATGGACTGATTACATCGTCTTCAAGTATCTTCTGCTTCTATCAACTTTTCTGTACTGGACTGAAGAAGCCTACTGTGTAGGCAAAACGTTTCGAATAAAGATACCTAACTGTTGCATATGTGTCTTACCTAACAACCTGTCGGTATTTTAAACCATTTTAATGTTCAAAGGAGTGTAACAATTTGGTGTACTTGCCAAAAGCCCCTTTATATGCAGAGCATTTCGGGCAAACTTAAGACTAACTTATAATTAACAAGGCAATAACAGTGTTGTAATTTTACATACGGTCATTAGGTGAGTTACAGTGAATACAAGAAAAACTGAATATTTGACTAGTTCATGCTATATGGCTTTAACCCTTTCAGGGTCGGCAGGCCCTCTCCCAGACCTGTTCTCAGGGTCAGTAAAAATTCGAAGAAACAAAAATTATTTTTTCTTATGAAAAGATAGTTTTTTTTTTTTCTAAATTTTATAGGTTTAACAAAAAATTTTTACCATCAGTACTTACCGAGATATGGAAGCGTGAAGTTGACAGAAAATGACCGGCATACGGTAACATCGCCGACTGCCGGTCACCCGGTATTAGTTTTTCTTTTTTAGGTACTATTTTCTAGTATTTTTAAATTTTTTTCCCAGTAACTTTTATGGGCTGTGAGACCAATATGAGCACTATTTTGTAAGTTATTTCTTTTTCTCTACTACACAATAACTGCACAAACACTGTTGTCACTATATTGTTTACAAAACTTATTTACACAAACGAACAATACAAAATGTTGTTTATTACTATTTTTCTATATTTTATATATACATATACAGTCAGAGGACATGTTCTTAGAAGTTCTGCAGCCTGTGGAAGTCTTTGAAACATGGTGTCATGCACAGTAGTGTTTTACACTCCTCACACATAAAACGAGTGTCTCTGCGTTGTTGTGGGCGTTTTTTTGTATGTGCACAGACATAACACCTCTTCTGAGCCTTTTTCTTGAAAGCAGTAGCAGGCAGTTTTGTTAGGAAGTGATCACCATGCCTCAGACAAGAAGGTAGTTGTTGATAATTACGTGGGTGGTTTTCTATTGCAGGTGCTGTTCCTTGGTACGTGATTATTATTTGTCTGATGACAGACAAACAAAATTCGCCATATGGTGGTTTGTTTCTGGTCCTCATCTTATATGTATTATAAGCATTCAGCATGGAAATGTCCAGAATATGGAAAAAAAGTTTTATGTACCACTTATAGCTTTTGCGAACACAATCATGTAACATTTGTCCACTGAACGCATATTGAGGGTGTAGTCAATCACAGCTGCAGGTTTTAGAATGGGTTCATTGCTTTCTCTATGCTGCCTGCCAGTGTCTGCCATTTCATTAGGGTGAACTGATGACAACAGTGTGACATCTCGTTTGTCATGCCACCAAAATGCCATGATGTCATTGGCAGCAAAGGCTTGCACCTCACCTCTACGAGTGCCAGCATCGAACCCAGGCATATGTTTACGATTTCCACGCACTGTGCCACACACATCTGTCATGTTCACTTGCAAGAAATCACTGAGTAAGGGGCTTGTGTCCCTTACCAAGATATGGTTCCATCATTGTTCTAACCGCATCACCGGAGATACCCAGTAACTTCCTGGTATCTCGCAATGTATTACTTCCAGTGTAGACAGTTATATCCAATACAAGACCACTGTAACAATCACAAAGCACAAACAACTTTATACCAAAGTGTTTCCTCTTGCTTGGTATGTATTGCTTGAATGAGAGTCTTCCTGCGAACAGAATCAAAGACTCATCAATAACAAGCTTCCTGAAAAGATAAAAATACATATTGAATTTCTGTTTCAGATACACAAACACATGGCTAATCTTATATAACCTGTCATTTCTGTCAGGCCTGGTTTTGTCTTGAGAAGTGAAGCATACGTAATAGTAGCATAAATCGATTCACTGGCATTATATCACTGAAACCTGGGGTTGCAATCAGGCGGTCTGTTGACCAGTATGATTTCACACTGTGCTTATAGACATGTGGCATAAGCATTATTGTAGCAAACAAAAGATACATCTCAGCCACAGTTGTCTCCTTCCACTGGTGTAGGCGTTAGTTTGGTGAAAGTATTGTGTTTGCCATGATGTACTCGTAGTATCTGTTGCTTTCCCTGACAATACTTTCCATCAGGGGTTCGTCAAAGAATAACTTGAAACATTCCAGTTCACTGGCATTGTTCCGAAGTGTACAAGATGGCCGTATTCCACTTTGACTTTTGTCAAAGTGATGGGGATTGGGAACAAAATTGGCAGCTTCCTGCCAATCCCAGGTGCGGTTTGCTGGTGGGTACTGGATATTGACAGGTGGTTGTGGAGATTGTGGTTGTGGAGGCTGGTGTTGTGGGTGGGTGTTGGATGGTGGCCTTTGTTGTAGATCAGCTGAGGCAGCGGCGTGGGTGGCAGCATGGCCCACTGCTGGTGCCTCACGGCCAACACCACCACTACCACCACCATGCACATTTTCCATCCCAATTGCAACACTATCATCTTCATTTTCACTGTCTGTTCCTGTTGTACAGCCACGGGATGTGCTCTGAGATGTACTTCTTCCCCTTGGAATAGCATATGGCACACTGCCTGAGCGCATATACCGTCATATATACCACTGACGCTTCACTGGAGAATATTCCACTTTACTATCACTACTGGAACTGTTTTCAAGAGCTTGTAGTTCACATTCGCAATCACTATCATCACCAATGCTCACATCTGAGTCTGGGATTTGGGAAAATAGGAGTTTCCTCTTTGATTCTGGTACAACTGAACGTGAACAAGACGGCCCAGCAGCAGAGGTGGAAGGCTGAGGGCCGTCTGGGTTTTCCTCACTATTACCGGTACTATTGTCATTAGTTTCAGTCACAACCTCATCAAAACCTTGGAACTCATCTTCACTGGCACTTTCATCTGTATTAGAACTGTCATTGGGGAACAAAAGTGTCCCAATTCGCTGAGGAGCGAGGAGCTTCTTACCACGAGGCATTGCGAACAAGGTCTACTAAAATGGCGTTCCCACAATGCACCACTGGGTGCCAGAATTTTTTTCTACCATGCACACCAACCACGCAGACCCATTCTCCACCACCATCACTACTACCCTCTACCACCATCACTTTCACCCTCCACCACCATCACTATTACCCACCACCACCATCACTACTACCCTCTACCACCATCACTTTCACCCTCCACCACCATCACTATTACCCCCACCACCATCACTACTACCCTCTACCACCATCACTTTCACCCTCCACCACCATCACTATTACCCTCCACCACCACCACTACTACCCTCTACCACCATCACCACCACCCTCCACCATTACTACTCTCTACCACCATCACTACCACCCTCTCCACCACCTATTTCCCCTAAAACTCC